GATCCCTTGGTGGTCTAAAATCGATAAGAGTAGGCTTCGGCCGCCACCCAGGCAAAATTCAAAATTTCCTACCAACTGAAAATATCAGGAGTGTCCCGTGCGTTCATATGACATTATGCAGTTGCGAGCGCTGTAAAAACACTGTACAAAAACAAAAGAAAATTTATCTCTCCACATTATGATTACACTGCAGGCTATTTAAATCTATTCTATCACTCTTTTTTGCCAGCTGTGCCACGCGTTATGTCCACTAAACAGACAGGTTGATGACAGAAGTATACTGAATTTGATTTTTAGAAAATATCCAATAAAGCATGTTGTGTTCCTCATAGTAGTTTTGTTAGTTATTAATTTTATACCCAAATTAGGTGCAGCAACCTTTTCACCACCAGCTCTGCTCAACTTAACAATGGTTTGAAATATAGAAAACACCCGATGCAGCCTATTATATATTGAGTAGGCTAAGTGCCAATTCAAGTCTTCAGGAGAATTACACAAAATATAATATTATGTAGTCTATCAGCATGTACTAAAAAATATATTATGCAAATTTGGTTCGAATTAACTTTTTAAGTCAGATTATTGAAGTAGAACAACAAAATTAATAACAACGAAATCTCGTTTCCACGGGAGACAACCGAAGTTACCCATACCTGAACCTGGTTGATAATTACCGGATTAGCCCCCTTGATAAGCTGTTACTGACCCTCTCGGACTCTCCAAACATTTGCAGGGTATCCCACAATCCCTTGCAGAACTGAGACCAGGTCGGATGTGAACGGGTGATGTCTGTGAGTGAATGGAAGTTCTTCCGGGGATGGTAAAAAAGTTTTTCAACTTGTGCTAGGGGGATCATTGTTGAGACCATGGGTCTGTTTTTGCTCGCACTATGTGCTGGACTTCAAGTTATAGTAGCTCAGACTCAGTCAGAGGCTAGTGTTCCTTGTTACGACGAGTTAAATCGCCCTCAGAGGTGCCAACCTCCATTCGTGAACGCCGCCTATGGCAAACTTGTAGATGCCACGAACACTTGTGGCGTTACTTCGGAGACCGAGTACTGCTTGCAAACTGGAGTTACTGGTGCCAGAAAGTATTGCTACTCTTGTTATGACAGAGATGCCGGGAGGAGACATCCACCGTCCTATCTCACGGACTTTAACAACAATTACAACTGGACATGGTGGCAAAGTGAAACTATGTTGGAGGGAATTCAGTATCCCACTGTTGTCAACCTGACTCTGCATTTGAGTGAGTACCCTTTTCTCAAGTTTTCAGTTTCAGTTTGTTGTTTGAAAGCAAAGTTAGCTTTCGAAGTCTAAGTTACTTGTTTGTATCAATAATTACATGAAGACTACTGACTTGTAGTCATGAAAATTCTCCGTCAATGGGACTTCTAAAAAAAAGTTTCCATCATTCCAGAAAGTTTGACGAAGTCTGGGTAAAGACTCTAAATTGTAAACAAAGGAAAATAATAGGCAGGAAATTACGCGATGTTGTAGTTTTGTTCGTTAAAGTCAAGAGTAGGGGGGTTTCAGGGGCAAGCACCTAATAAAAATATGGGCCTAAAAATATGGTGGTGGGGGGGTTCAGGCGGGCATGCCCCCCCTGAATTTTATTCTAATTTGATGTTTTTTGCAGTTAAGTTGCATCCCTACTCTTTGTTTGTGTAGCCTATTTCAAATAGTATTTGGTCATCAAGACTTCTAGATTTCTTCTCTGGATGTAAACAAATGGATCATGGACTTAAACGAACGGAACTACAAGATCACCGGAAATTACGCTATTGGTTGGTGGTAAAAAGTATACACGCTTAAAAGTAAGTGTGACGGAACTTTTATCTTTTACCAGCAGTAGCAGAGCGTGAAGAGGCTTCAAGTTGTAGGGTTTATCCGTCTGCATATTTACTTTCACATTTCTTCAATGAATGAATTTTCGTTTGCTAATTTTCAGTCAACAGGTAGGGAAAAGTGAACTGAAAGGTCTGGAAAACACACTTTTTAATGACCAGCCTACTTTTGGTTCTTCCTCCTACTCCTAGCAACAACAACAACAACAACAAAAAATAAAAAAATTTAGAGGTTAAAAAAATTATCTGCTGTGATTTTTTTAAAAACTTTTTTTTATCATGATTGATGATATTTTTTGACTCTTGAGCAATGATGACTTGAAAGAATTTATAAACTAAACAATAGACACAAGATATATTTTTATTTCGTAGTTCAATTCAACCATTAAATTAGCATGATTAGTAACTTATTGTTGCAATGAATCTTGGTATTGCACAACAATATTAATATAGAGATCTCTATCTAGTCTTAGTTAAGTTAGTCGGGGTGGGGGGGGGGGGCAAAGGAAAAAATTTAGAGTAAAAAATCCTTTTCACAGAAGTCCCAAAAGCCAATGTGTGACCAATAAGTAAACCAGTTGTCAGACAGACTGGTCTGATCGTAGACCATCAGTAAAACCAGAAACGTGATGCAAGATCTTTTGTCAGATGGGCACCGTTTTTTAAAACATAGACTTATATTTTTGTTTTTAATAATCTTGATTCTAGTGTGTTATGAATTTGTGAATCATATTTTTTCTTCTTTGAATTTTATTAAAACACACACACACTTTGTCTCTCTCTTTCTCTCTGTCCTATCAAACACAAAAGCTTTCTCCTTCTATCTATCACAGACACATACATACATAATTTTCCCCCTCCCCCCTCTATCTCTCTCTAATACACACAAATTACGTTCCCCCCGCCACACGCACACGCACACACACACACACACACAAACACACACACACTCTCTTTCTGATTAACTTTCTGTCTCTCTTCTCTCTACTTCCCTC